TTCTCAGGATTTGATATAAGCCCAAACTGAGAAATGAGGTAGTAGCTAGGGAAATATGTGCTCAAGAAAGGTTTTTTGTTTTTAAATGAGAGGAATTACAAAATGTTTGTATGCTGCTGAGAATAATTTAGATGTGGAAGAATTTCTAAAGATTCATTCCTGAGGATTAACTATGATTAATACATATAAAGCACTTCACACAACACATAAATTACTCTCTATATACTAGATATTAGTATTATTCTGTATTTTTATCTTCCCCTAAAGTATTGTAGTATAATTGTGATGTTCTATTGTAACTCTCTTTATAGATTTCCTAGCTTTTAGAGCATCCCCTTTATTTATTATAAGCAATTTTTCATTCAATGTCTTAAAATTGCTTATTAAAATGCTTTATCTATTACTTAACTTTCATTGCATTTTTTTCACTTGACCAATCCCTTCCACTAAATATAATAATCCCCTGTTTATCTCCCCCCCAGTCATTTCACAGTATATGCTATAGCTTTATACCTGTAGGTAAGTTATTTCAGATTGACAAATCTGGTCATTATGATTTGTTGGTTACCTTGAAACCATGTGAGCAGCAAGGTTAGGACACCCAAATTCTAACTTAAGTGCTATATATGAGCTGACATAATATAGGGAGCCAAATAAATATAGATTATGGGAACTTTGTGGTAACACTAGTTGTTAAAGAGAATTTTCTAGATTGGGATTTATATCAAGAAGATTCATTTTGCACCAGAAAGTCTTGTCAGCTATTATAATAACAAATGCACTTCCTTATTTGGATATTTAATCTGTAAGAATTTTACAGTGTTTATCTTAGTAGATGTAATTTATTGTGAATCTTAATTCTATTTGTCAGTTCTAAGAATGCAGCACAGCTGGATATTTTCAAAGTAATAAAAACTAGTCCAGAACTAGTCCTTCCAGATTCTTGTCTGATTTAACTATCCATTTATGCATAAAAACATCTCTCAAAACTTAATGGCTTAAAAAATAGTAAATATTGATTATCCCATACAGTTTCTGTGGGTTAGGAATCTAGGAGTGGCTTTGCAGAGTGGCTCTGGTTTGGGGTCCCTTAGGAAGTTGCAGTCATCTGAAGACTGATTGGGCTTGGAGAATTTAACTCCAAGCTGGTTCACTCATATCCTTGGAAAGTTAGTGCTGGTTATTGGCCAGAGGCCTCAGCTCCTTGCCATGAGATGTTATCAGTGGTTTGCTGAGCTTCCTCATCATATGGCAGATGACATGTTACAAATAAGCTAAGAGAAAGCATGAAAATGTGTTTTACGATAGAGGCTCAGAAATCACACTCTGCCATTTTGGTTAAGCAGATTAGTCTATTCATTGAGGGGAGGGTAGAGGAGCTACTTAATGGCAGGATGCAGACATCCTGAAGCCTATCACAAAGGCTGGCTGGGTGCCATAGCGCTCCTCAGAGGGCTGTATGAATCATAGCAAGTAAAATGAGTTGAACAGGTTAGCATGGATGAAGGTTCTAGCCTCATGTATATTTTATCTGTCTCTATTTTTAATTCTACAACTAAAACCAGAAGTCAACATGACCTCTGATACTCAGTTTCCCTTGAATATTCAAATATCATGCATATAAATGGCAGAAATATCAAGCAAAGATAGATGTATTAAATGCCTTATTTCTTTTAAAGAAGAAATAACAAATAATGTAGAAAGAGCACTGTATGTATAAGTCATTGCTCTACAAATTATTAGCTGTGTTGATTTAAGGCAAGCAGTCCTCACATCTAAAGTAGGAATATTAATGAAAATAAAAATATCAACTCCACCGTGTTATCGTGTAAATTTAATGTATGCCTAGTTGAGAAAGCACTATCAAACTTCAGGCCATTGTGAACATTGTCAATCAGAATAATTTCTGATAAATGGTGCTTTGCATTGCATCCCCTTGGCCAGTCTGATTTAAACTGCATGGTTCACAATGTCAAATTACTACCACCACTATTGTTACTATTACTACTACTGCTGCTGCTACTACACGTAAAAGCAATAAAAATTATACAACAACAAAAGAGGGGAAAGAAAAAGAAAAGAAGTCTATCATAATTAATTATGATCTTCCCAAGCTAAGTCCATACAAATCGGTATAAAAGTTTGTGAATAAATGCTGTACCTCCTACAATAAAGGTGAACAATTCTGGGTGGTCTTCTAGTCTGGGAGACTTCACTGGCGGTCAATGCAATTGAACTTGCATTTTCAAAGTAGGCACATCAACTACAGGTCTGTATCTCTTAGAACAGTACTCCCTAATCCAGTGGGAAACATTGTAAGACCTCCAGTATATGTACACAATCAGACTGGCCAAGGTGATGCAATGCAAAGCACCATTTATCATGTACACAACCTTGGATAGTAATGCATTCTATATATACTCTGCCTTTTTCTCTATACATACATAGATACACACCTATGATAAAGTTTAATTGATACTATGATTTTTCTTATACATGGATATACATACATAACAATGTGCACAATAAGAGATTAATGACATTAACTACTACTAAAATAAAACAGCTATAACAATATACTATAATCAAAGTTATATAAATGTTCTCTCTCTCTTCATGCCCACCCCTTCCTACCTCATGTTTCCTGGCATCTACTTCCTCACAGCAACCACCCACCTTTCTTTCAGTAATTAAAGATGGCAAAGTACCACCATTGTATTGAAAATGGGGATACTGTTTCTAAAGCACAGCTGCTGACAAACCAAGGAGCAGAGGGTGGGAGTGGAGCAGTGAGAGCAGTCCACCTACATATAGGCAATCTAGGAGGCAGTGTCTACAGAGAATATTAAATGGTAACAAACACATAGAAGTCAGGATGCTTTTTAAGAATACTATGCTCCAGCAAGTCTAAGTAATATTAGTGGTAAAATCCTCTTTCTAGCCAACCTTCTCTTTGGGCTGTCCCTGGTGGCTGAGATTACTTTTCAAATAGAATAATACTCATAAATAGGGCCTCACTGGCCCTAGGGGTTAAGTCTCAGCATATCACTGGTAGGTCTGAGTTTGATCCCCAGCCAGGGAGATAACACACATGGCACAGCAGACCTCTCCTGTTTCTCCTGCTGCTCCCCTCAGCTGTATATTTCAATAGATCTGGCTGTTCTGCTCCCCACTCTGTCTCTGGTGAATCCTCTCACCCTCAATACCTCTGGCCTACACCCCAATTCTTCTATACATAAATAAATAAATCTTTTAAAAATACCCATAAATAAATTGGGTATGTTATATTGGTAGTTTAAGCATTCAAATGTGAATGGGGTTTGAGATATGCAACTGTGTCAGGTCTCAGTTTCAATAAATAGAACATAAAAATTATCACTTTTTGTATCAAGACCTTTGTGTAGTCCAAACAGCAGTTTTGAGAGAGAGAGAGAGAGAGAGAGAGAGAGGAGCACTTCAATGGCACTAGGTCTTAAATAATCATCTGAAGAGTTAGGTAATTCCTGTGGTGAGTAATGCTCAAGTTAATGCATTTATATCTACAAACTTAATTGACTAGCCCAAAGATATGCAGTAAAGTTCAAGTCAATGAAGTAGAATCTCAGAGTTGATATTTGGGGCTATGGAGTTTCTGTGACCATTATCAAATTTTCATTCAAATAACTTTAGCTGTAGTATTATATACATTCTATTATTTTCTCTAGTCTAATTTATTATGTTTTTTGAAATAATCAATAGCTCATACTCACATTTCTCACATAGCATTCTTTCCTGGATATTAGTTTTGAAATGAACATCAATATACATTCTTTCCAATCTCCACTGTTTGATAAAAATAAAAGCACTGAAATGTTTAGCAATATATTCTCAACTATAATTAATCATTAATCACTGACCTCAACATATGTCTCTCAGGAAAGTACAGTATTACTAATTAGTTCTTTTTCTCCTCTGTGCTAAGGAAATGGGAAAGAAGATATATGAACTGATTATATAAAATGTGTTTTCACAACTCTTCTTGTCAAAAAAACCATGACTAAATCTTGTTGAATTATCCCCTCACCCTTCTGTCTAAGCTGAAAATCCTCACTGTCAGTAAGCTAAGGTTTATTACCACGTATTTCAATATCCCAAAGCAATGCAGTGTATTCTTTCCCAATCATTAGTGAGTATTCCTTTTGCTTCATTATATCTTTTTTTTCTATATGGTCTGGGCCAATTAGTCTTATAATCTTTTACTTGTTAAGCTCCCTTACTTTCTTTAGGAGTGCTTGTGGTTATAGATGCCATCAAAGTGAAAGTCTTATTACCAGTCAAGATAATTTTTTGCTTCATGAAATATTAAAATGAAGATTATAAAAAGCTTTTTAATAGAGGAATTTGTTTACACAAATAATTTTCATATGTGCTGGATTGTATGGGGTGACTGAGAAGTGGGCTTTGGTAAAGCTTAGTGAGGTTGATAAAGTGAGAAATCATTTGTATAGGCTAATGGGAAATGCTGATAATTTAGAATAATAAAATTTAGGAGTATATCAGAATGTATGTCAAAATAGCAACTGACATATAACTCTGAAATAGATGTTTTTAAAGATTTATTTATTTATGCATACAAGAACTGGGGTACAGGCCAGAGGTGTGTGGGGGGGGGCGGGGAGTGAGAGGATTCACCAGAGAGAGAGTGGGGAGCAGAACAGGTGGATTTACTGAAATACACTGCTGAGGGGTGCAGCAGGAGAAACAGGCGAGGCCTGCTGTGTCATGAGGGTCAGCTCCTCAGCCAGGGATCGAAATGCTTGCTGCAGTAGCTGCACATAGCTTCGTCTTAACTCCTTGCACCGCCGCGCCGCCGCGGAGGCCCGCTTCTTTATTTTATAGTTGGAAATATTTACCTCCTACCACCTTCACTCATTTCACCTACTCCACAAACCACCTTCTCACTGATAATCACGAATCTTTATGACTTGTGCTTGTCTATTTGGAAAAAAAAAATTACTTACTATAGTAGATTACTGGCTTGTTAGACAGGTATCTCCTGCTTTTCAAAAATTGCTTCAACTTCTCCTTCTTGTGAGAGAACTATATCACCACCTGTTTTTCCTAATGAGAGAAATTCGAGGACACTTTTCGAGGACACTTTTCGACTTCCGCGTTTGCCTTTTACGACAAAAGTTGAAACGCCGTAACAGCGTTCAGCGGATTGTTTTACGGCAGACTCGAGAGAGGCCTGTGCACGCCTCGGGTGCAGCGCCCACCCACAAGCTCTGCCAGGGACTACACTCAGCATCTCAACATCAAGGGGTGTTTGACAAAGATGATGTTGAAGAGGTTTTGGAATCCATGGCCAGGAACTGGCAGAGGAAGAGCTGAGGCAATTGCAAAAGCAACGAATATGAATCCATAGTGAACATAACAGTGAAAGGCCTGAAAGTGAAACTGACTTCTTTTTCTCCTCTGGCCAAGGACGCTGTCCAGGAGCGGAGTGAAGCTCTTCCAGGAGATTTTTACTACAATTGACAGAGCTGTAATGACTTTAATTTTCAAAGGAAACATAGGCTTGAAGCAGGGTGTTTTGAGTGCCTTCCAAAAATTGTCTGATGATGAAATGTGCGAGGCCAAGCAGTCAACCAGAAACGTCTATTTCACGCCCTCCACCTTGGCCTCCTCAGCAGCAGCAGATGAGACACTGCGACCTCTGAAACAGGCAGGCAGGTAGGAGAAGGGGTAGATGTTAGTGGCCTGCCCACCCCAGGGATTCGGATGAAGATGAAATATTAACAGATGACCTTCTTCCTGCGTCTCCCACCCTTGGTTCTCCTGTCCTCCCACCACCCCAAACTGACGCCACAGCCTCACTCACCACCTGTCAGCTTCCAGGGTGCTTGCTCTCTTCTCTGTGCTGGTGAGTGAAACTGCAGGTACATATATTATTTCTACTTTATAAGGGTTGTGTTTTTATCTCATTATAACTGCTTTTACGACATGTTAGTGTTGTTTTAGGTGTTATGTGTTATTTGGTATGGTTTGTTAGGTTATTTTTTAACCTACTCAAATATGGGTCTGAAAACTCTCAATATTTTTTTCCATATAAATTAATGGTAGTTGTTTTTTTGTTTTATGCAATGTTTGCCAAAGCTTTCATGGGAATATTCGAACTTTTAGATAATAGGGAAACCTTATAAAAGGATATAACTCAGGAACATCCAAACGAAGAGATGCAAACCGCAGGTATGTGGGAAGAGCTCTGGGCTTCCATGCTCTCTGTGGCAGCCATTCTCCCAGCACCACGTTCAAGAACCCAGAAGTTCTCCAATGGAGGTTTTATTTCATAGGCATGGTTGATTAAATAATTGGTTTGTTGATTGATTCAACCTCCAGTCCCTCTCCCCTCCCTGGAGACAGGGTAGGATGAGGCTGGTCCTTAGATTCTCTAATCACGTGTTTAGTTCCCCTGGAGTTAGGATCCAAGTACCCACAGTCAAATAAAAACTTTGGCAGGTGCCTCCCTAGTAACTAGCTGGCCCTCACCTCTACCAATGCCAGTTTTCTCTTGACACTCTTTCCCACTGAGCTTTGATGTGCCTCCAGAATACTTTTGAACACAGAGAATCAGAAAGCTATTGTATAAGAACTAGCATAAAACTCACTTATCATTCCCTCAAAAAGGTGATCCTGATTTTCCACTTTATTTACAGTATTTTTGGAGTCATTCTCTAAGGTGCCAGAGATGCTCAGGGGCTTTGTTTTTCTAGTGGATGTAGTGAATAGGTTGGATGACAGCTGTCAGCAGTGTGGGGTAGTTGATATTACAGTTTACTCCCCTCAAATATCACTGTTTTGTTTCTCTGTCCTCTAGTTGAAAGCATTTTTCCCCTTGTATACACATATATACCAGCAGGGGCCCTGATGCAGATTCTTGTTTAATTTGTCTCTTGTTACATGCCAGTATAGGTTCATCAACTTATTTCTAAGTGCTTTGCTTGAAATTATATCCTTCAGTACAAAGTCTCTGAGAATAGTGACTTGAGAAACAGTTTAAGCTAATTTTCAAATGATGGAATCAAAACTGTAGTGACATTTTAGTTATTTATTTGGGATCTGCTAGAATAAAAAGAAAGCATTTGTAAAACCTCTTGAGATTGGGGGCCTCCCCGGTGGCGCAGCGGTTGAGCGCTGGGTTGTGAAGCTGCCCACCTGCCCGTGGCCCCTGCGGCGCCGGTTCAATCCCCGGCTGCTCCCCAGCCACCGGAGGAGGGTCCCACATGGCGCGCAGACCTCTCCTGCCGCCCGCTGCCCCCCTCAGCAGTGTACCTCGGTCCCTCTGCCTGCTCTGCTCCCCGCCCTGGCTCTGGTGAACTCTCTCACGCTTCTGACTGTACCCAGTGCATGTATAAACAAACAAACAAATAAATAAATAAAAAACCTCTTGAGATTGAATATATTCTATTCATTAAAATGCATTCACTTTGTCTTTTCCAGCATCCTCTTCCATTTCAGTTCAAGAATATTTGTTGATCACCTAATACATTACATTATTTACCTCCCTTTCAAAGTGAGGAATATCATGGTGACTAAAACTGTGTCTAAGATTCCAGAGACACACAATTTTCGCTGGAAGTCAGATATTAAAAAAAGCAATAAAAGAAAAATTCTAAAGTAGGGACACAAATACTGTATAGTGTGAATTGCCAAAGGAGAGCGTCATACAATCTTTGGTGTACTGTAGCTTAGAAACTCTCATCGGAGAGATAAGACTTAACTGTAGCATCAAAATATGAGCATGGTGTTCTATGGCCAGGATTTGGGGCCTTCAAATTACCTTGAATGTGAAGGGCATGGCATAAACAAAGACATGGGAAAGATGCTTTTTATGAATGACAGATGATTTAATAAAACTGAACTTATTGACCTGAAGGAGTGAAGGGAAACAGTGGGTTGACTAGAAAAATAGACTAGGACCAGGTAGTGAAGGAAGTCAGATATCAAACTGAAGAGGGCTGGTCATTGTTCACAGTGTGATGCTTATTTGTTTTCATGTTTAGTTCTTAGTAGCTATAATCTAATGAAAATCATCTCAGAAATAGTCTCATTCTGATATTTTATCAAGCAAATGCATTAGATATTTAAGGGGGACTTCTTTTATGCAATAGAAAGTAGTCAAGAGTCCTGTGGTTTAATAAGTGGTTTTACTAACTAACTGCTAATCTGAAGGATGGAAACATGAATATTTAAAATGAATTTTTATGAAGTGTGTTATTCCTTTCTCTCTCTCTCTCTCTCTCTCTCTCTCACACACACACACACACACACACACAAGTAGTATGTTAGGCAGAATAATGGCCCACAATGTATTCACAAACCAGTCCTTAGAACTGTGAATATGTTACCTTACAGGGTAAAGAGGACTTTGCAGATGTGATTAAAATAAGTGTCTCAATAATCTTAATTATCTTGGTTTATCTGCATGACCCTAGTCTAAGCACAAAGATGCTTACACATTGGAAAAGCCAGGCAAATTAGTTTGAGAGCGATTTAAAGCTATTACACTGCCTTCACTGAAGATGGAGAAAGGAACCACTAACCAAAGAAACAGCTTCAGCAACATGTTCCTCTCTTGAGCTTCCGAAGGAAAGCATCCTGTCGATTTCCTGATATAGGTCCACGAGACTCATTTTGGTCTTCTGACCTACAGAACTATGAAAGAACAAATCTGTATTGTTTTAAGTTGTGGTAATTTATTAGAGTGATAATGGGAAACTAATACAAGTACTCATTTGACAGTCAAACACATGAACAAATTTCTACCTGTCTTTCCTCTTAATCAGTTTGATTTCTGATTCAAAATGCCTAAGAAGTCCAATAATGAAAGCGTAGTTATGTGATCCTTCAAACCCACTTAAAAGCCTTTTGTTATTATACCCACCTTCTTGGAGTTAGGGAGATGGCAGGCTTCCAGGAGACAGACTAACTTCCAAGAAGCATTGTTTACCCTCTAATTCTCTTCACTCCCAATTGTAGAGGGTCTTTTTCCAGTAGGGAAATGGGTATCAGTGGTATTGGAAAAGAACCAGCCTACATCATGTACTGCAAACTACATATATATCTACTTTCAAATCATTTCAGTGTAAACACTGAGACCTTGCCTATTAAACTGAAAAGCTAAGCATCGATGTCTTTGTTTATGGATTCTAATCTGATAACTAATTCTGGAACAAATAGAGTTTCCAAGACTCAAATTACAAAGGCTGGCTGCAGGATTAGAAAAAAATAAAAGAAAGTTTCTCCTTGGGGAGGGGGCGGGGGGGGGGGAAGAGAGTATTTTATGTTCTTACTTTATAGAGAAAGAAACTGAGCTTCAAAGACATTAATAAAATTGTGTTTTTAGAGTTAGGACTAAAATCTAATTTTCTCTAAATTCATTTTAGAGAAAGTTTTATTTTAAAGAGTTTTATTTTAAACTAAGTTTTATTTTAAAGAGATCACGCTCCTCCTTAATGATTCATTAAATATCATGGGGCCTCTCTTCATCTCTAATACGAAAAGCTTGGAGTAAATGAACCTTAAGGCACAATATATGTCTAAATATGTGCCTTAGATTGACAAAATTCAGAACCACCTAGGAAAGAGAGAAAGAATGAATATGTATTCTTGCCACCAGATAAACTCTTAAGCCTTCCTGTAAAAGAGCGTACCTATGGATCCTGCACTATGTTGCAGAGATCTAAGTGTTGACTACATCAACATAAATATTCTATTTATTAAAATTCAGTGGCACAAAAGAAAAAAAATTAGAGATATAAAAATCAGTGGAGCTAGGCCCTCCAGCTATAGAAGATAATCAGGTGATTTTACGTTCAGATAAAAGACATTTACTACTTTTTATAGTTACCTTTAAGCCTTGACAACGCATATACATTAGTGACTTTTTAAAAATCAAGTTAACAAATTAAATGAGATTCACTCCAGTTATTATTATTGTTGTTGATATAACCTAATTAGTAGTTTGTTCCACTTTAATCCTGCAGTCTGCACACTTAGCATTTAATCTTCTTACTATTCTCATTAATTTGACTTTTCCTAGTGATTTGTCCAAGAACGTGATCTACAAATTATTTTCCAGTATCTTATACTGCAGCTCAAGTTGTTTCTTATCTTCCATCTTAACTGCACTATTTACACCTGGCCACCTACTGACAGTTTGAGTTAGTTCCAGGCAATGAAATGTGAAAACTCTGATTTAGTATGTATGCCTGTCTAGAACAGACCTGCCACTGCTTCAGAAAAAGCCCTGCTTCAGATTTCTCTCCAATTGATTCTGAAACTTGAACTGCAGTAGCATTTATCAAAGAGATTAGAAATGGCTGAGGCGCGTTCCCTGGGGTAGCCTTCCTTTGGAAGTTTCTGCTTGAACGTGGCTCTGCCCTTCACCCATCATGTGAAATAAGGGTGGTTTCTCTCC